GGGAGTGGGAATTCTCATCCTGTATTCTTTGGAAAGTAAATCAAAAACAAGAATATTGGAGTTACTGAACTCACTTATCAAAATACATTGGCAGTTATGGGAGATCTTGACATCACAAGGGTTTCTAAATTTACATGCGTTATATCCTTTAAAAATGTATACAGAATCAAAATTCATAGAAAAGGCTTGTAATTTCCGAGCTTTTCGAAGCTTTTCTTTTAATTTTTCATAACAACAATCAATATTATTATAATTCCTTTCGGAAGGGTGTAAATCAAACAATTCAATTTTTACAGGATTTGAATCGTGAAGATCATGATAGCTTTCTGTTTTCATTTTTTGTTTAATAAGGATATTTGCTGGGACTTGACTCACACCCGAACCAATGAAATACCTTTTTCTTTCCTTTAAATTGGATGAGATCTTGCAAAATGATACTTAAAGTTCAAGCCCTTTCTCTCTTGTACACCTCGGTTACAATGAAAATGATGAAAATTTTCGAGCTTCAAAAAAATGTCTTCACTTCCAAATGAAATTCTTTATGGATCTCCTGAATATCTCCACCAACACACACACTTGAAAAGAAAGGAAGAGTCATCTTCCTCTAATGTGTTTTCCAAGAAGAATGAAAAAGAAAAAGAAAATGCTACAGTACAGAGATTGGTTTCCTATGTTTCTACTTTCAAACCACCAACCAAGCAACCATTCATTATTGGTGTTTGCGGAGGTAGTGCTTCAGGAAAGACAACCGTTTGTAGAGAAATTGTAAAAAGTTTGTCCGATAAGAGAGTTGCTGTTATTTCCCAAGACAGCTTCTATAGAAATTTAACCGACGAAGAGCGAGAACTTGCAAAAACAATGTTTACGATTTTGATCATCCAGGTAAGTGATGATTATCAGGAATTTTTAGGACACTAAATTGGCCATTGATATTACGTATTCTAAAAACATTAATGACATCGGAATGAACATGTTGATGATAATGTTTGACTTGGTGCACATTTGAAAATTTATTTCTTTCTCAATTTTAAAGATGCATTTGACTATGATGCATTCGAGGAATCAACCAGAGAATTAAAGGCTGGTAACCCAGTGGATATACCAGTGTATGATTTTAAAACTCACTCAAGAACTTCACAAACTGAACGTGTTGAGGGTGCCGATGTTATCATTATTGAAGGAATTCTCATCTTCTTCACCAAGGAAATGAGAGAGTTGATGGATATGAAGATTTTTGTAGATACTGATGCAGATGTTAGATTGGCAAGAAGAAGTACGTAGGTTGTTGTATATGGTACAAATGAATTTATTTAACTGATGACTCACAACTTCCGAAAATTATCAACAGTTCGAAGAGATACAAAGGAAAGAGGACGTGACCTGGAAGGAATTTTACTTCAATACGAAAGATTTGTAAAACCTTCTTTTGATGATTACATCATGCCAACCAAGAAGTATGCAGATATCATCATTCCAAGAGGAGGTGCCAATACTGTTGCCATTGATTTGCTTGTTCAACACATTCATCTCAAATTGCTCATGTTGGAACACCACAAGGAATAAATTGATTTGACCACGATTTCATTCTCAATAAAAGTTCAATCAATAATAAGGATTAAAAATGTCTCGACAACCAATACGGAAAGGAAGAAATTTTTTCACACGAGCACTTTTCCATCCACGAACCTATTATGTCATTCAAATTGGAGGTCTTACTGAATTTGTTATGTTTTGCTGATAAAAACAAAGTGGAAAGAAGGAACTGTGTTTTATGATGTGAGTGTTAAATGAAATTATGAGCGGAAATGTTTGTGATGAATAATGATCGCAAATTAATTAATTATTAATATTTAATAATTTTCAATTTTTGAATGAATTATGATTCACCTATTTTAAAATATTATTTATGAATACTTATCCTAAATTCATTCGCTCCTTTATGAAATAATTTTTAAATTCATGAACAGCTTCAACAATGGGCAAAAGAAAAATATGATAATTGGATGAAAATGAGTGATGAGGAAATTGAACGACAAAAGGAAATTATTAGAATTTCAAGGGAAAATGCTTCCAAACGAGATCAATAAATTTATTTAACATATATTCTCTTTAATCTAGGTAATAAAGCAGTGACAATTTCGTAATTAATTGTATGAGACCATTCAGACAATTTTTCACATGTCAATTCTTTGTCACCTTGCTTTCCTAAAAGTACAACTTGATCATTCACTTTGACCTGATCTGCGATTTCATCTGGAATTCTTACTACGAACTGATCCATGCACACTCTTTTGTTAAAACAAGGCATAGAAAGATTGAGACCAATGTCGACTTGTTTAAAATAATGAAACTTAATAAAACACACATACCTCCCAACGACCGGACATTCTACACCTCCAATTAGGACATGAGATTTATGAGAATTAATTCTCTTGTATCCATCCCCATATCCAACTGGAATTAATGCCAATGTTTCATATTCATTTTCAACCACATAGGTATTTCCATAGGAAACCGTGGATTTGTGTGGAAGCTTTTCAACTCTGGCAACATGTGAAATTAAAGAGAGTGCAGGTCGTAATTGAAATGGCAATCGCTCATCATTGGTAATATTACTTGAGAGAGACCATATATTGAAACTCCAGGTCTCACCTTTGTTCATTGTTTTAAATAATTGTTAACGAAAGGATTCTCTGAATCAGGACTTACCATATCCAAATGCATTTCTGGATAGAATAAAGTTGCAGCACTATTGCAACAATGATAGATTATTTCATTCGAGTGTTGCAACTTGTTGGGATTTTCCTCAAGAATTGTTTCAATAAGTTTTCTCATTTCAATAAATTTGTCGAATTGATATTGAGTGTAATCTTTGGATTTTTCATCAGCACTTGAAAAATGTGTGAAAACTCCTTCAAGAATAATACGAGATGGAAAATTACGAGGATTATTCGTAAACCAATGTAAAAAGGATTCAACCTTGTTTGGTAATAGCCCAAACCGTCCCATTCCAGTATCAATCTTGACATGAACCTTAATTTTCTTATCTTGCTTCACACATTCATCAAATAATGTTTCAATAATTAATGGATCTCCAGATATAGTTGGTGTTAAATCAAAAGTGACACAATTTTTAACTTCGGTTGGAATTGCATATCCCAACACCAGAATGTCGACGTCATTAAAATTTTCTTTTGTAAAGCTTTTCTAATTTTCACACCTTCCAACACACGATTCACAGCAAATCGATGAATATTCATTTCTTTCAATAATTCTTTGACAATGGGCACATCACCATGTCCGTAAGCATTTGCTTTCACTACTGGCATAATTTTTACTTGAGAATTGTGCTCTCTTGCCAACTTCAATATATTTTCAACATTGTGGAGAATATTCGTCAAATTCACCACTGCGACCGAAGTGGTTGGAAATTCTTGATGACGATGGTGCCTGCGACGACGCAAGCGAAGATGGACCTGAGAGCGATGATGATGATCCAGCGAGTGTTGTTGTGAATGTTTTTGTGAGCTCGAGCGATGGATGAAACAAATCCCTTCATTTGATTACCATGACTGCTCTTACTAGTTGTTGGTGATGAAGCATTAGAATTCAACACAAGATTATGTGAATAATCCTTGAAGAAAGAAGGTTCCAACAATCCCTGGCAAAGTACAGAGGAGTTGGTGGATGAGGATACAAATGCAGCATGATGGTCCAGAGGATGAGAGAGAGGAAGCGAGGCTAGCACACCTCGTAAAAGCATTGTTGATGACTCTACCGATAAAGAAGGCTTGCGCTTTACAAAATCAATGATGGACTTCATACCAGGTCAGTTGGAGTGGTGGAAAAGGAGATGTAGAAGGCTTTTGCAACGATTTCTTGGTTGGGATTAATACATATATATATATATCGATATATTACTATGAAATGCAACTATAGCGTGCGCACGAGTGTGTCAAGGCGAGCTCAGCAGCAAAATATTTTTTTGCTTGAATCCATTTCATGAAAGCGTTGAAAATCACGAGGAAAGGAAGACTTTTTTATCATTGATTTCCAACTAGGAGATAATCATAATCTCGGAGAGAGCAGCTAGCCCTCAACCTCAACAATGGGTTTCAGAATATGGGATAGGATTTTCGTTCCAAATATTATATTTTTGAACGCTCAAATTATTAAGGAATCAGGTTGAATATTAGTGAAACTGTAGTACCGCCACCAGAAATGAATGAACCATCAAGTTTCACCTCTAATAGAGGCCAATGAGAGAGAGAAACTCCTCCCACTACTTGGCAACGTGTGAAGAGGATCTCGATGAAATTTCATACGGAGGTTTCGTGAAGTTAATTTTCCATTCAAAAAATGGATCCGCAACTCTCATCATCAACAACAACTCTAAACAAATTGGATAACATCAAGATGACTGCATCTACATCGTCCACTTCTCCTTCATCATCATCATCCAACTCGACCCATTACAACACTTCGGAATCACAACAGCCTATCAAGATTGCAAAGAAAGATGACTTTAGAGAAGATGATGAGCATTCAGTTTCAATGAGTCCGAAAGTGGTTGCCACGGGAGCACTTTCTGTCAAAATTCCATCCAACGGAAACCTTGTGGGTGCTGCTGTTGTTGCAGGAGGCAGTCAGTCTCCTGTGAGAGTCAGCAACCACTTACATCAATCATCAAATTCTTCTTCTTCCTCTCTGTACAACAAGAAAACAATTCCTTCTCCACCCACTTCATCATTGAACAATAATAACAACATCAATGGAACCAGTACTACTACTTCAGCACTTACAACAGCATTAAATTCATCTGTACAGCAAGAAGAAGACAAAACACATCCAAATTGTCTACAGACACCTCTTCTGAACCCTCTTGCCCTATCAATGCTGAATCAGACAGTGCGGGTGGAAATATTGCTGAGGACCATTTCATATTCCTTCCGAACCACAATGAGCCTTTCCATCATTTTGCTCTTGATATTGGAGGCTCTCTGGTAAAGATGGTTTACATGGTTCCTTTTGATAGTGAGAATGAAATTATTTATCAAACCAAAGACACAGAGAGCAATGAGCTCGAGGCTTATTATCATCATGCCAGTAGTGATGATGAAGAAGATGGAAAATTATCCATCAAATCACTTCCTCCGCAGTCTCCTCTCATCATCAATGATGCTAGAGACCATTTTGCTTTTAACGGAACAAAGAGAGGCTCTAAACTTTGTTTTGCGAGATTCCAAACAGCTGACATTGAAGATTGTTTAAGTTTGATTGAAAAATTATTAAAACTAGATGATTCAATGCCACAACATCAGATAAAACATATCAATGCAACTGGTGGAGGTGCATTCAAGTTTGCTTCTCTCCTCAAAAACAGATTTGGACTTGAGGTGAACAAACTCGATGAAATGGAATCTTTAATCAAGGGACTGAATTTCTTGTTAATGAATCTACCAAATGAATCTTTCAAATTCACAAAAGAGAAAAAGAGAGAATATATTTCATTTCAAGAGGTTTCCAATAACGAGGTATTTCCTTATTTACTTGTAAATATTGGAAGTGGTGTTAGCATTTTGAGAGTTGATGGCTTGGGAATGTTTGAAAGAGTTTCAGGTAGTAGTATTGGTGGAGGAACATTTTGGGGTTTATGTAAATTATTGACTGGATGTTCATCATTCGAGGAAATTTTGAAACTTACAAAACAAGGTGACAACAAACCTGTAGATATGCTTGTTGGAGATATCTATGGAAGAGACTATGAAAAGATAGGATTACCATCAGACATTATTGCTAGTAGTTTTGGTAAATTGATCATGCAAAAACCGGCAGTGAAGAAACCATGAAACCTAAAGCTGCAGATCTTGCTAAATCCTTATTATTTATGATTTGCAATAACATTGGACAAATTGCATATCTCAATGCTCTGAGATTTGGACTTAAAAGAATATTCTTTGCAGGATATTTTATTAGAGGTCATGACATCACAATGCATTATATTTCATATGCTATTCATTTTTGGTCTAAAGGAACAATTTCAGCAATGTTTTTGCGTCACGAAGGTTATTTGGGAGCCATTGGATCTTTCCTTTCTTCTAAAAGCAAGGACGTAGATAATGACAGCAACAACACACCTGTTGTAGAATAATTTGTACAGATTATTAGATTGGCATTATTGAACCAATGTCAGCCAGAGATATTTCCTAGCGAATACAATTACCATTATTTATTGACATACCTTGGTTAAAGATCATTCACTTTTCTATGAAATTAACAATTGAGACACAACAAGCAATCATACGAGTCTATCTTATTCGAGTAGTGCATATAGGTTTAGAACAGAGCTATTTTATCCTGAAGGTTGTATTCAGAGAGGTGCAGGTTTGTAAGGGCCCTTAAGTGTGACTGCAAAGACTTGTGTTCATTCGTTGTTTAAAGAAATCCAAAAGTTCTTCATTCGCTTGAACAACCCATCCTTTTTTTTTCTTGTTGCTTCAACCAACTCGTTGCAGTCGTTCTTGATCAACTTCAATGCTCATGTAAATTTCCAAATTGTCATCCAAACCCTCAACCAAGTCGTGTGGCTGTTGGTTGGAAGAAGACTCCTACAGTACTCGAATATTTTTGAATCTTTAAAAAAAATGCCCACAAAAAGCAAATCAAAAGGTGGAAAGAGAAAGAAGGACTTGAACAAGGGAGGTGCAGGAACCAAGAGAGATCTCCAACTTAAAGAAGAAGGACAAGAATATGGTACCGTGGTTAAAATGTTGGGTAACGGAAGATTGGAGTGTTATTGTTTTGATGGAAAAACTAGGCTCTGTACCATCCGTGGTACGATGAGAAGAAAAATTTGGATTAATCAAGGAGATACCATTCTTGTTGGTTTGAGAGATTATCAAGATGATAAAGCCGATGTGATTCACAAATATCTTCCTGATGAAGCCAGAGAATTGAAGAAGCTTGGTGAAATTCCAAAGGATGCAAAGATTAACGAAAATACCGAAGAACAAATTGGTATTGAATTCGTTGGAGATGAACATGAAGGTGATGAATCGGAAGAAGAAGGAAGCGGAAACGAAGAAGAAACCATCAACTTTGATACGTTGTAATTCTTCCATTATCATCCGCTACCACCACCAACAACAACTCAAACTCATCTCAACACCCTTCTCATCATTTTCCCAAAATTATGTCTGATGATGATTCACAACAACCTCACAGACACATCAAATATTAAAATTCAAAAATTAATTTATTCACAATTTCTTTGAATTAAAAGTTCATGGTTAGCTTTTTCTTTGGTTTGGAAGCTGCTACCACGGGGTTTTTTGGCAGTGCTACTACTCGATGAAGCAGCTGCCACAGATTGCTGCTGTTGCTTGGCAAATTCCTGAATGTCAGTGATGACTGAAGGAGGCAACAACTGAGCCGTGATGAGAGATTTGAATTGGTCTGGAGCTACCTTGGTTAATCGGTCAAAACACTGAACTCCCAATGAAAATGTTTTGCTCATGTTGTGGTCTCGCGCGAATTTCGTCATATTCACAAGCATTGGAACAATGGTGCAGAGATAACTTTGAACAGAAGCTGGAGGAGAGTTTAACTCGGACAGTAAGGAGAATCCAGCCAATAAAATGTTGATTGCAGGAGGAGCAATCTTGTCAAGCACATGAGTATTGTCCACAACTGAGACGACCAAGAACTTGGACTCAGAGGATAAATTCAGCACAATTTCCACAGCAGCACTCATTGAATAAAATACAGCAAGTTTAGCCAGACCACTTCTTGCAAGATAGAGAATGCCATTCTGAAGTCCATACAAAATGTTGAACGTGTTGTCGACTGCTTGTGAAATCTTTTTAGTGTCACCATTAGAGGAATCATGAATATTGATAATTTCGTTTTGGAGAGCTTTGATAATATTTCTAACAACCTTGTCATGAAGTTCAATGTTGGAACAGAGTGAGGATGAAAGGAAAATGAATAATAACTCAATTTCTGGAGTGTAAATAATATTTCCAGAAAATAATAATCTACTAATAATATTATCAATGGATGCATGAATAGCAACACTCCAAATACTGAATTTTTCTTCAGTAGTCATACTTTGATCGGAGCCATCTAATTCAGAATGAAGCTTCTCGCTGACTTCAATAATGGCTGTGGTTGTGTCTAAACCTAAATTGGATCTTGTGAATTGTACAACTCTACATGCTGTGTAAAATAATGTTGGTACCACAGCACCTGTGATTGAAAGACCGAATGTCTTCACAATTGCCTTGAGACATGACATGCTCTTCGCAATTAGGTCTTTTTGATCCTTTTCTAAGGTAAATGAACCCATCTCGAATTCTCCATCTTGTTTGAACAGATAAGGGAAATGAAGTCTAAGAGGTTTCAAACAGACTTCAGTACTAGTTGTAACAATTGCTTGTGTGCTTACTTGATCACTGGATACAAATAGTGACATGTCAACATTAGTGAGAATCTTTTCTAAAAGGTCTAAACAGGCATTATGAAGAGCCAAATGTCTAATGCCTTGAATTTCAATTAGTAGCAAGAAAACTTCGAAAACTGCTCCAGGAGCATGATGATGTTTTTGGAATTGTTTGGTGGCAATGATTTCTCCAATTGATTTGATACATCTGATCGATTTGTCAATATTTTTCTTATCAGTACCATAGAGATGAGAAATGGCAAGACCAATAAGTAATGAATCATTGTAGTCAATATCATCAGCAGTAGAGTCTAGATCTTCTTTTCCTCTTGAAACAGAAATTGCATTCAAAACACTGGCATATGACTGCTTAAAATAGTATAGAACATTTCTTTCAGTTCCAGGTTCAACAAAATAAAAGTTATTCAAATTTTCAACAGCTTGTTCATAGATAGGAGCATAATATTCATTGCTCGTTCGTATCAGTATGTGATCATCCTCTTCATCATTAACAACGACTGTTAGATTTGAAAAGTCTTGAAGTAAATTATACCAGTTAATAAATATATCCTTCATATTTGGTTGTAAAATCTCCAAAAGATCCTTATTTTGAGTTTCTTGAGCAGAAACATAAATTTCAGCTAGAGATGTCAACACAGAAATTCTGATCATACATGTGGTAACCTCTCCTTGGCTCGAGCTGACAAAAGTTTTAGGATCTATTATATAGTTGAGTAAATAGGAGCACATTCTAGAAAGTAATTTTGATTGATTTTTAAGCATACGTGATGGAATAAATATAGAAGCGAGTTGGCAAGATGCATATACAAGAAGTGGAGAATTAATTTGGGTGATGGTATCACTAATGGCAGTGCTAAATCTAAGCGCATGTTGTTGAAGAAGGGGTTCTGATGGAACATCAGGATCTTGATATTTTCCAAAAATGTTGTTAATATTAATCATCAACACAAGTCCTGCGTGTTGAACAGAAACTGTTCCCTTATTAGTGGCAGTACAACAAATGTCAATAATTTTGGAAAGATGATTAACCAGACAATCTTTGTCGGGATATTTTCTTGCAACAGACAAATCTACGTGCCATAGCTCATCACTATAGGTTTCAATTACTTGCTGGAGACATTTCATTGCAAACACCTTTGTTTGCCAACTATACACCAATGGTTGTACTTCTGATGTTTTCTTTTCAACAGGTGTGTCATCTTTTTCGTCAGTATCACCTAACATCACGCTTTGACTAGTTTCTTTTTCAAGAGTTCTCAGTTCTGAATAGATGACAATATGAATCAAATCAATCCAAGGCTTTGGAGAAATTAATTTGCTGGATATCAATGATGAAAGAATATTCTTGAAGTGATTTTCTTGATTGTTACCCGCAACGTATTTCTCGTTCGAACTTTGAGATAGTGACTGATATGTTAATGCTTGAGAAATAGAAAAGTCCATATCATCAACAATTTCAAAGAGTTCTGATGGTGTGAAATACTTGGAAATCAGTTCTGGTTTTTGATCACAAATTATTTTGATGCATTGGCCAATCTCGTTTTGAATATTTTCAATGTATAATCTTTCTTTCTTGAGATGAATTAACTTCTTCAAAAAGGCAACAATAGTTTCCAAGTTTTCAACCAAATAGGGAGTAAATACAATTACTCGCTGCAAAAGGTGAATAAATTCAATGACCAAAGCATCCGAACTGAAAAGTTCAGAATCTACTTGAATACTAGTCATCAAATCACTGACGAAATAGTTAAAGATTTTGTCAAATGGTTGAGTCTTTAGCTGCAGCAATTCTGGCCCCAATCCAATAAGGCCCCGCATAATCTTACACGCTGCTGTCAAAATAGAGACTGCTGAATGAGGAGCGTCGAATAGAAGAGAGAATATACTCTGTATAATGGTTTCTGCATGAGGAGAAAATGCAACACCGTTTGTATCAATTGTATGATAAAGGGAAAGAAAAGCACTCCTTTGCACGTCCTCTTCTGTAATTTTGGATAGAGCAATCAAGAAACTGACTGTTGAAGGAAGAAGTTCTCGACTTTTCAATGTTCCTACTGATCTGTTGACAGAGCCAAGAGCTAGCGCCAAACCAGATTTTAAGGATGCGTTCGATGTCGTAATCTTTTGAGTGCATCTTTTAACAATATCTTCTAAAAGAATGTCACCAATAATTTTTCCAAATGAATACATGCACTCTGCAGCTGCAGCACGTACAAATGGATCTGAAAATCCAATAGCAGCATTTAACACAGAATGAATTTGAGGATAAAACTTATGTTTCTTGTTTTCTTCTGGCTTTGTTTCCAAGTTTCTTAAAATGCAATAAATTGTAGCAACGACATTAGAAAAAATGCATAAAGTAGAATCTATTGGACCCGAATCTTCTTCAAGTCTTGTTCTGTGCGAGGTTGTTGTAGGTGTCATCAAGTTATTGGCTAATGCAGTTTTAACTTGTTGAACTAAATGTTCAATAATTTGGGCTTTGGAGTTTGGTTTGTGGTAAAAGAAAAGTTTTCCTAAAACTCTGATTGATGAGTCTACCAATCGAACTGTAAGAGACGGCAATTTAAGGAAAATACTTTCAGAGTAGAATAAATTAGAAATATTGTCAAAGAGAATGCACGAAGCATCAAAGCTGTCCACAGATATAGAAGTATACTTTTCTTCAATAGGGTCCAGTTTTACCTTCAGGTCAACCATGGAGTCAATAAGCGAGGTTCTAATAGGAATTGAATCGGAAATAGAGGCATCGGCTTCAGCAAAAGCCATCTTGGTGACAAAATTGATGACATGTCGGTGTTGAGGAAGCTGTAATTTGCTATCTGTTGAAGGCACATAGGCTAACACATTTTCTGGAAGCTTACCAACCAAATTGAAAAGATTCATTTTGATCAAGTTAATCGAGTAAAGTCCTGTTGATGTGGTTGGTTTGAATGTTGGTGGTAAAGAGGAAAGTAAATCGACTGTTGCTGTAATGTATCCGAAAATTAAATTGAGCTTTTCAGGTGTTAAGAGAGGAATGCAGTTCATAATAAAAATTTGTAATGAGAGCAAACAACATGCTCTTGATCTAAGTCTGTAAGTGATTTCTTCTTCCTTGGTTGAATAGGTGATAGGTTCCTCATATTTTCCACTCATTGTATCGTCCCAAAGCTCTAAGATTTTTTCCAAATTATTTTTCACCCAATAATCGTTTAAGGAAAGAATGGCACATACTAGAATCCAGCATGACTCTTGACGTTTTGTAGAAACATAGAGGTCATCAGCTGACTTATGAGCAGCCTTTCCTAGAAGCGATGCAGTATCTAAAACTGCAGAACAAAGAGCATGTGAAATGGTAAGACTGTGTTTGGCCGAAACCATTATCAACGCAGCAAGCGCGCAAGAGTGTCCATGAAGTGAATTTGCATAGTTTTTGATATTCTCATCTCTTTTGGATGCTGTTGCCAACTCTGCATGATCAATTTGAACCATATTCATTAATGCACTTATTAATCCAGTAGAATGTGATGGAAGAGCTTCCATTAGTTGCTTAATTGTCAAAGATCCAACATATCTCACACTTTCAATTGGATATTTCAAGCTTTGCAAAATTGCATCAAGAATAGAGTCTCTATATTTAGCAACACACTCTCCCAAGACTTTGCATAGCTTACCAATACAATATAATACCGTAGTAAAACAACTATCATTTGGGACGACGGTATTATTGATCACTAATTGAACCAAATTGTTCAATAAAGATATTCTTCCTGCTTCTGTAAGTTTGTCAATCAGACCAATACTAAGCATTTTAGTGACATAAGTTTGAGCATATTTCTTGTCATTGTTGGTGATATTGTTGGAGCTAATAGAAATTAAACCAGTCAAATTTTTCACAATTGTATCCATATTTGATATGATTACATCCTCAGGACATTTCGAGAAGAAATAAATTATACATGACGCTATTGCTGATCTCAATTCTTTTGTTTGACCTATTCTCGTAAAAGGAGCTGTAGCAATCATGATAGCATAACTACAAGTATATTCTTTTGAAGGCTTTTGAGATCTTGGAGTAATGCCTCCGTCTTCATTGGCAACAGAATCATGGAGGCCAGTGTCACTCATACAAGAAAGTAGCAACTGGGCGGCAGCATGGCTGAAAACCTTTCGAACTTCTTCTTCGGTGTCTTCCATACTCTTCAAACACATGTTCAGAGATGTATCGAAAACTTTTAGGTTCACATCTGACGGTCTTGCATAATTGACTGCGATAGATAACATTAATTCTCCACAGGCAATTTTGACGTGTTTGTTTGTTTCTTGAGTACCTTTTAATATTAATTTCAAGTACTCTGTCCACTCATTCTTCACTCTCTTCTTTGAGTTGGCTACGTATTTAGCGCATAACATTAATATAGCCTCTTTAATAGGATCGTCCTGTTATTGAAGTCATCATCATGGAGTAGTTCGAAAAATAATGTTTTTGTTTAACAATTACATCATCATCACCACACAACACTTACATTCAATTTCCATAATTTCCAAAATAAATTATTGTTGATGAGATTGAATAGGTTCGGCACTAGATGGGACTGTATCGAGTAGGCTTCTCCCAGTATGTCCAACAAACAGGCTATTTCGTTAATTTTCTGTGGGTTCCGAGTGGCGTTTGAGTGTTGTTCCAACAATTGTAGTATTTTGCTTGATCCGGAAGGAATCAATGTGCTTGGATTGATGTTGAAGAATTTGTTGAAACATCTACAAATCAGTCTTCTTGTGAGTACAGAGTTGCCGATGTTGGTCAAAAACGAAACCGATTTCATCAGTGTAACTTCAACATTCTTATCCAATTTATCGAAGGAACAATTCTCCAAAATACGTGCGAGATCGGTCCAGAGCAGATAGATTTGTTCTTGTTGAGTACTATTGATCTTCTTGTTTTGAGAAGCGAGCGTGCAAAATTGGGTGAGCTGCGTGAGACATTGCATTTTTTTTTGGTCATGATGAAGAAAATGGATGATGCTCCGAACTGATTTGAAGATCTCTTGATGATTTATTGCCAGTATACTGTTATGCAAACGTTTCAAAACTGTGTTGTTTCTTCATCGTCTTCTTCGAAATTGTGGAACATCCTCCTCGAGTTTGGCTCTTCAATATACTCGTCCATGCCCACATTGACTGTACAAATACGATTTGGAGTGGGTGAGCTCAATGCCGAGTTGGTGCTTTCAAGAACAGTGTGTTTTTCAATTAAAGAATCGTGAGCTGTTTTGCAATTAATGTTTTGTTCCCCTTCTAACAGCACAAGGTCTTCATCTTCAAACATTGTGGGATTGTATTTTCTGTCTTCCTTAAATTTGTAGCTGTTTAAAGTGTGAATTGCTGTTTCTGAGCCAAAACTATCGTTACCTTGACATGCCACATCACTGTCTTCCTCGTTATCACTAAATTGGGGATCACCAAAATTAACTTCCACCTCTTGCAGAGCTTCAGTTAATGCTTCTCGTCTTTGTGGTACACATAAGGAATCGGTACTTAAAGATGACTTGGAACTTCTTGCAGAGGTTAGACTTTTATCCATGTCTGAAATACTGTTTCCCATTAAAGCTATTTTCTTCCTTGAATTTGTAAACTCAATTAAGGGGTCATTATTCAATTTTTCAATTTCTTGTTCAGAAATCACCAACAAATCGAGGTTGTCTTCTTCAGTCTGGTAGTGGTTTGGATTGTATTCTTCTTTAGGAGGTTTCTTTAATATTCGTAATTCTTCAATTGAATTATGCGATTCAGTTGAGTGCTCCTCAATCTCCTCTTCATCCCCTTCGCTATATCGAGAAATTGTTGTTTCGTTGTTTTTGTTATGTGAGATGAGCAAAATATTCTTACTCTTTTGTTTTTCAGGTTGGGGAGGCTGTGGTTTTCTTGGCCTAATGATAGGTCCAGTTTTGTTTGTTGCTGATGTGGATGGTTTGTGAATATTTTGACCTATTCTTGGGCCTGCAGTATGAGGTTTTGGCTCAAGAAGAACAGAATTTTCCTGCAAAATGGAGTGTTCTGGCAATCCTGTGGTGGGTCTAAAAATCCTTCTACCAAATGCTATCTGTGGTTTTTTATCCTTAGCTGATGCAGGTTTCTCAGTGATGACTGGAGGCTTTTTCTTCAATGCTGAAATTTCTTCTTCAGAAAGGAAGGATGACGAGTCCACAATACAAACATTATTATCTCCCGTATGAGAAAAAGCTAGCTTTTTTGGTATTAAAACTTCTGTCTCCGGGTTATGTTTCAAAGTGAATACTTTTCGGATTGTGCAACTTGGTCCGATGCATATCCTATCAAGACAATAATATTCTTCTTTGTCATTGAACGAAATCTCAACTAGTTCAAATAAATCAAAACATAAATTCATCCATTGTCCAGCGATAATATTTTCTGGAAGAGGAATTTGTGAATGTAGCTGAGTTTTGGTTATTGTTTTGAAACTGCTGGAAATAATTATTCTCTTTTTAATCTGTTTTTTATCTCTAATATGAAATTCAACTTGAAATATCGTTCCGATCATGCATTGTATCACCAAGTACCGATGCATAATTTGCAAGGTTGTTGTATTTAATTTCGGAATCTCAATGTTGGTCGTATGGAATGAGCTTCCTTCAATGCATACAACATATGTCTTCACCTCTTTGTCAAACACCTTGGTAACTAACTTTGTATTCTTGATCAAAACGTTATTCAACGCATTGGAACCTTGGGTGGAAAGAAGTTCAATGCTGTCACTCGAGCTTCCAGAGAGATGTTGGCTCATTTTTAATTTGTAATTTTTGGAGGCAACCCCAAAAGGTAATAATGATCGAACTATTATAAATGTTAATAATAATAATAATAAATCTTGCAACAAATAATAGAGACCTATAAAGAACATTTCATGATTAAAACCTGTGCTGGTTCTTATAGGTCTTTATCAAAAAGATAAAAAATGGGCAAAAATTCTTCCTCCACAACGCCACCGACCACAGAGAGCAAAAAAGAGCAGGAAGAAGACTTCATCATCATCGGGTTCTAAAAAAAGTTTCATCAAATGTTGCTCCGATCAGTGCTGCACAACCATCAACTTCTGCAACAACTTCTATTGCTAAAAATCCACCACCTTCAAGTAATAATAACAACACCACCAATACCACCACTATCGCTGCGGTCGGTTCTCCTGCTGCATCAGTTTCAAAGCCAAAAAAGTCAACCACAACAAAGAAAGCTTCATCATCAAAAGTCTCCACCCCTTCTTCAACAAATGGTCCAACTGTAACTTCTATTACGACAGGACCGACTTATCCAATGCTTTCATCATCACTGGCATTCCCGATGTCACAATTCTCGTCAAAGAATTCTTCTGTTTCACCACAAAGTTATGAAATAGTATATATGGAAGAAATTTCAAATATGATTACATGCTTTTGCTTTTCAAATAGAGTTGATCCTAGTACCATTAGAATCATTGAACAATATTCAAGAAATCATATCGTTGATATAATATACCAAATATATGTTTTTGTGAATGCAAAATCAGCGAATACGATCGATCAAGTAGAATCTGTAGATTCAACCATTACTGTCGAAGATGTACTATTTTTTATAAAGAAAGATTCTCTGAAATTTGCCAGATTTGAAAACATGATAAAAGTTAAAGAACTGAGAAAGAAAGAAAGTGAGCCGGA